TTTTTTTTTTTTTTTTAAGACAGGCTCTCAGGTCTTCTTCCGCACCTGGCTTTCTCTTCATCCACACACGTGAAACAAGCAAAATGCTAGGATTTCTAACAGGAAGAAGCAACCCGGAAGATTTGCCTTCAAACTCGGTGCACTTGGGGTAGGTAATGTAGGAGAACATGAGGTCGGTGCATTGGCGACCTGAAATCCCCATCGTCCACGGGAGCTTAAAGGACTCAAATAGGCTGGCCTGCCCAGGAAACCTGTGGGAAGAGCTGAAGGCGGTTCTAGGACACGGACCACTGGATTTCCCTCCCCCACCTGCCGCTCTCCCACATTCAAGCCCGAGGGGTGTTGCTCTGGGGATCCCTGACGACTGCCAGCAGGGGCGACAGGCAGGGAAGACGGAAGGTGGCAGAGTAAGGAAGCGATCCACAAACCCCAGCTTCAGCTACTAATCTGACAGAGGCGGCGGTGACAGCGTGTTTCTCCCCGAGTCCGCAGCATTCCGCACGCCCCTCCCGAATCCCCCGGACAGGATGAATCAGAGACCGCGACGGGTCTCCCGGGAACGGGCGAGCAGTTCCAGCTGCTCTCCCGGCTAGAGCGGCAGGGAGGACCGCCTGGGAGAAAGAAAGGGGACGGGGTGTGTAGGCGGAGGCCAAGATGACGACACTCGGAGCTCCAGCCAACTCGGGGGGCTGCCAGGTGCCCGAGCGACCCTGGGCGGCACAAGCCACCTCTCCCGCGCAGCCACCGCGCGGACCCCGGCACTACCTAGAGGGCCGCGCCCAGCCCGTGCTGCGCTCGCCGCCGACACTCGCTTTGGCGCGTGCAGCACGCGCCGGGACACACCCCGGACTCTCCTCCCGGCACGAACACACACACACACACACACACACATGTTCCCTCACACGCACAGCTCGGGAAGCACCCGGCCCTGCGACCCAATGGGAACCTGGGCGCAGATCACACTGGTTCAGGACCAGGCTCCAAAGCAGACGACGTACACACCCTGGCCCCCTTTTCTGCAGGATCCCCTGCAACCCTGCTCACCCCTGCTCACCACGCGGGTACAGGCTGTACAGTCGCTCACTCCATGGTCACCCCAACACCTACCCACACCCCATTCGCACTCGCGAGCACACACATGGTGTCCCCATGAGGCCACTGGACAGTCAGCTGTGAGTCGGGGAGGCATGGGGGCGCCAGGAAAGAGAACCCCAGGTGTTCCGAGGCTCTCCGTCTCAACTTCAAGCCCCCCTTCCCCAACTAGAAAGACAGCGAGCCTAGACATGTCTTTTTCTCCCTTACAGTAATCGAAATCCTCTCCAGTGATGCCAGAGCCGCCCCCCCCCACGCCCCTCTCCCCACGCCAGCGCCACCAGGTCCTCGCGCAAGGGCCACAAAGGCGGACGGGGAGTCCGAAGACAAGCTTCTTAAGGGTCCTTGTCGCGCCCCGGGGAAGAAGGGGCCCGGAAGGGGGGGCTTACCTAATGAGCGATCACGAAAAGAAAAAAAAAAAAGCCAACAAGACTGGCTGCGCAGAGCCCAGCGGGAGGTGAGGAGAGAGGCGAGGATGGGTGAGCAACCAGCCGCGAGAGGGTGGCCTGGCAAGGTTTGTTTATGTCCGGGCGTAGGGCGATTTTATAGGCGCCGGGGCCCCGCCCCCAGGGCCTCGCCCCTCCCCGACCCTCAGCTCCCAGCCCAGCGGGGGACACACCCCTTTCCCCCGCTCCCCTCGCGCTGCACCCTCCCTGGGCTGGGCTGGGCTGGGCGGGCTGGAGCCGCCGCCTGTTGCGCAAGCCTTCTTTGCAGGGGCGCGGCGGGAGGGACTGCCAGGCCCCGGCTGCGGCTCCTCCCTGCGATCCCCTCTCGGGGCCGCGGCGTGCGCAGCGGACGTGTGTGCTCCGAGTGATTGGTTGTGTGTGTGTGTGTGTGTGTTCCCGTGCGCGCTCGTGCGTGTGCATGCCGACTGCCTTGTGTCTCTGCTCGGCCGCGTGGCCCCCCGTCGCCTTCCTGGAGTTTCCAAAGCGTTTGTTGGCGCCACGCCCTTCTGGGCGGCACCCCCACTTCCTCCGGGTCTCCACGTAGTCACTCCGGAGCCCCATTTACAGCCAAGACTGCAGGCAGAGTTTCTCTCCAGGTTCCTTCCCACGTAGCCTCAGCTTCCTTCATTCTCTCGGATCCTGACGCCCCACAACTCCCTTCCTGCACTTTACAGTTCTGCGCTATGGTCTCCCTGCTGCTCTAACCTGCCTGCTCAGCAGTGAGGATTCTACAGGCTGCGTTGGGGTCCCCAGAACTTGCACAGAGTTCCAACCTTTCCAACCGTGGCCGACCCTGCTGTAGGTGCCATTCTAAAACCTTGGTCTGCTTGCCTGTTACCCAGTTCTCCGCCCTAGCCTCCCCCTGAGACTCCAGGGAGGCCTCTGTTAAGCAGGTGGACATCCCTGGCTACACCTCAGAGCAGCTTAGACAGAATCTTGGGGAGTGTGCGCCAACACTGGGGCTTTTTAAAGGGCTCCCCAAAGGGTGCAGCATGATGGCTCAGATGTAAAGACACTTGCCTGCCGAGCCTGAGAACCTAAATTCCGTGCCCAGAAACACAAAAGTAAAAGGAGAGAACCCACTATCATAAGTTTTCCTCAGACCCCACCTTCCCCACCCCACTAAATAAATAATTACTATCCAGGTTGGCTGTGATATGAAGCCACGTTGAGAACCTCAGCACCCAGTCCATCTAGGCCCAGTCCAGTTATCGTCTCAAAGCCACCTGTTCAGCCTCTCAGTCTCAAGGGACCTCCTTCCCTTCCCCCTCCTAGGAAACCATGACCTCAAGGCTCCTCTTTGCTTTCCAGTGTGCTCTAGATACCCTGGCCCTCATTCTGTTGGTCTATGAGTGTCTAGGAAGCTGCTTTGTGAGCTTGGCCTGATCTAAGGCACTGGAAAAGATCTAAAAAAGGAAAACTCTTTGTTTTCAGAGTAGAGCCAAATCAAGCCCAAAGATTTCAGTTTCCCAGCACATCCGTAGAAGATGACTTATCTGAGCTTATTCAGTATGTAGCTGTACTAAGCGCCTACTATGTGCAAAGAACTGCCTGGACCCTGGGGCCGTGAGCGTGAACACTGGCATCCTTGGGAGCCATCCTGTTGGTTGACAAACCTTCAGATGAACTAAGCAGTCTATTACCCCACTAATAACCATTTCCCCAAATCTTCCCTGTTTTGTCGTTTGACAAACATTTATTGAGTACCTGCGGTTTGCTCCCTGTCAAAGAGTGTCCAATTTGAAATGCTGGCAGAGTTGCCAACTTTCCCAACAATGGGAAATGTAGCCTCAGTGTGAGCTGGAAGAGGGCACTTGACCCGTAGAAGCCATCTCCTGCCCTTTTGAGGAAGTCTTCCTCTGGGACAAAGCATGTAGACCAAGCCAGACCTGTGGCTGAAGCCTGGAGTATGTTGCCTGTGGGGCTTGGGTCTGTGTTAAGGAAGCAAAACTGTTTAGGTGACCTGTAGCCCTGAACTCTCGGCTGGACGAGCTGGGCCCTGGTGGCTCCACCGGTAATTCCAGTTCTCAGGAGGCTACTGCTACAGCAGGGGGACTGCCAAGACCTGCATGGGCTATGTAGGAAAACTTAGTCTCAAAACAATACCGGAAAGGAAATAGGGTCAAGAGAGTGGAAGACAGAAGGGCAGAGAGAGGAGGAAGACCTTGGTGTGGAATTTTCATAGTAGTGGCTTTCTAACCCCACATGCAAATCACCTTGGAAAAGTTCTGAGTGAGATCCATTTGAAACTCCACACACTGTAAGTTGAGGTAAACCAAAACAGTCACATTTCCCTTCCTGATACAACTGATTGATGGTTGAGTATTGGGTGAAGCAAATTTGTGTGGCTACAACACCTATGTCTGGGTGAGAGACTGCCCTAAGACAGTAGAATGCACACCCAAGACAGAGATGCCTGCTCTCAACAGAGGTCGCCCACCAGGGCTCTGACAGCCACCTCCACAGCCCAGGCCAGCTGAGGCAGCAGAGTCTGTTGAGCTGAATGTGACTGTCACTGCACTGAGCTGTTGGAATGAGTCCTCTTTCTCACTGGTCAGCAATAGAATTGGATTTGCTTAGCAAATACACACAGGCTGCCAACCCCCGCTCAGGGTGAGATTAGATTTTCTAGACTAATGTGCACTGGAAATTTCTATTTGGCAACACCTTCGATTTCTAAACAACTACAAGACTCATCTATTTCTGGCCTTCTTCCTTGTAGTCTGTTGAGTGCTGGGGTTGGGAGAGACCCCAGGGCTAGCTGGTCTCCTGATGAGGAATGTGGAGATCTGTGGTGCCTTGTACACCTACCTTTCTATCTTGGGTTCTATGGAAATGACCCTGTTCTCTGTGACAAACAGCTGTGAGCCACTGAGGAACCTATGAAAGGAAACTGGCTGCAAACTTGGCAAAATGGAGGCTGCGCTCCAGGCACAGAATACGTACCCAGGAAGGTAGTGTCTCCTGACTTTGATAAGCTTGCTAAAATAGCCGTAACCAAGTCTCACAAGCTGTGGAAAATGAAGGCGAGAGGTCTATTCTCCCTCAGTCCCAGGGAACAGAAGCCAGTGGCAAAGCACAAAATGGGGCCTACTTCTTGGGAAGCCTTGTCTGGGGTCTGGGGTTACTGATGATCCTTGATGCCCATTGGCTTGTAGACACATTATCAGTTGCCTTTCTCTGTGACTTTCCTTCAGCGTTCTTCCAGAATGACCTCCATGATTGTTATGTGTGGTTCTGTGTGTGTGTGTGTGTGTGTG